ATATATATATATATATATATATATATATATATATATATATGTACCATATATTGTGAAGTGTACTCAAACATCATCAACCCGATCTTGATGACCAATGTAGTATTTATAAACCTTGAAGTACTTTCTTATAAACAACGTTATTCATTGTCTTTGATAGATTTCCTTCTTCATCCATGATTACCACCTTTATACCCTCATTGGTTGTTACTCTACGCAAAGCAACATACAATTTTCCATGTGTGAACAAGGGTTTTTCCAGAATAACCCAACTCTAGACAGTGATTAACCTTGGCTTTTATTGAGTGTGATTACAAAACACAACACCAAGGGGATTGTTTGCAGATAAATTTGAATGATATTTGTTTATTATATGGATTTAAACAGATCTTTGGTATGAATGTTTGAGCTCCAATATTATTTCCATAAATGATTTCCACTTCAATCATGTGTGTTCCTAGGTTGATTACACGCATGTGTGTCCCATTATATAGCCCTAAAGATTGATCAAGATTATGAAACAACATTATCAGAGCACCTACTTTCAAATTTAATTCATGGTTAGGTATCCCTGGCAATTTGATGGAGTTTAAAACAACAGGCGAGTACAATGTTTCGGTCATAGAATTGTATTTCTCAAAATTGCACAATTTGCCGAACTTAGATATGTTTGCGAATCACCGAGCATCTGATTAAGCATATACTCATTTATCTTGTCTACTTCTTTATTTGTAGGTGCCAAAATAGCACGTTGCTGGAAAAAGATGATGCTTTAAGTACTTTGTAATTCTGATAAGCAAGAAGGATATAGAAAATCAACAATTTCCTTAAGAGGATCACACATATCTTTATTAACATGGGCTTAAGAATTTCAACATTTGCTTGCCTATCATTATCCTCATATACGACACCATCACTAATCTCTAATATCCACTTTGCAAATTCTTGAACATCAGGCATGCGTTTCAGATTACAGCCTACTCATAACCGCATATTGATAGTCAACTTTAATATCTTACAACGGTGCCAAATTTTTTAAGAACTAAGAGATACATGAACGATATATTGTCTACTTCCCTTTGGTATGACATGTAGTATCTTCTTGAAATTCCCTTAAAAACATCTTTTCCACCGAAAGGTGGAACATGATGCCATTGTTTTGCACTCCTAAAATATCAACAAGGATCCAATGACCACCACACCCTAACTCAACCAAACCTCCCGTTTCTCTAACAACTAAGATAAATGTTGAATATTGATAAAGGGATTGTAACCAAAATATGTAATAAATTCAAAGATCCATGTAGAACGTGGAATTAAAAATCCCACAACTCATGTCATTATTCAAGAGGAAATGATGATAGATTTATAAAATTATTAGAATATCAAAAGTCAACTTAACATATCAACATATATTGATCGACTCAACTACCACATTAACATTATCAGACAGATATGAAATAAAATATTGATAAAAGACTTTTAAGTATAATATAGAATAAGTTCATAGATACATGTGGAATGTGGAATTAAAAATCCCAGAGCTCATGTTATTGTACAAGAAGAAATAGTTATGTATTTATAGAATTCTTAGAATATCAACGGTCAACTAGCATGTCAATGATTGACCAATTAACACATTAACGGTCAACTAACATGTCAAAGATTGACCAACTCAACCACCACATTAACATAAAAGGGTTATTGTCACTGTAGCCAAACAATGTTTAGTATATTGGTTTAAATGGTCCCTCGTGATTTTTTTTTTGCCTTTGAGAGGTAAGAACTTGTGTTTTACCGATTAATTTCGTACCTTTACCCATTTTTACAGGTTACACTCTCTTGTTATCTGCCAACTAAGCAGATGACTCACTGGTGAGTCGACTCTTAGTTGCCACGTGTCCCTAAATACTCATCTTCTATACATCCCATGCTATCTTCGTTTTTAAGGTTAATCTTCATAAATATCCCCAAAATCTTGAAAACCTGCATCAACTAAATTCTTGAAAACACGCTATCTTCGGTGAAGGAGGTGGAGAGGGTTGTAGCGGCCGAGAGAGGTGGTTGGACGCTATATGTGTAGATGACGACAATACCTGGCATTCGAGGGACTAGATCTTATTTGATTGTGATGTAGTGCTTTGACGCCTCCGTGGTGAAGTTCATCCCTGAATGCGATGTTTCCGACGTACGCGTTCTGTAAAGCTAACGTGTCGCCCAAGCCGAAGGAGATGACATTTATCAGAAGAGTTGGAAACCTCATGGCGGCGTACGCGTTCTGTAAAGTTAACGTGCCGCCCAAGCTGTGGCCGGTGAGCGTGAGACTCACTTGTTCGCCGATTGATTTGTAGAACTTCGTTAATCTCTTTATCTCTTCAATTACTAGCTCTGATGCATTGGTTTTGTTGTATCGTGTATATATACGCTTCGATTTGTGGATTCTCAGAAACCCTCGCTCCACCTTCGCTTCCTCGTGCCCTAATGGCTCGAGATCTCGTTGCATATCTTCATACCATTTGGAAGGAAGCACAGTGCCACGCCACACCACCATGATGTCTCTTATTCCGATCCTCTTCGATTCCAGATCATTACCCACATCGATGTAACCCATCCAATTGGAATCCTTGCTCCATGTATCACTCATGTATGATTTCTCAAGCCATCTAGGGATTTCGAATTGCGACATGGCGTAAATGTATTTTCTCACATCATAAACATGTTTCATATTGTGTCGTTTGTATATGCGAGTTTTCTGAAAACAATTGAGATTACTCCTAACGTGAAACATTTGGGGAAAATCGTGACAGGAATGAAGAATGTGGTCGCTCGTTGTTTCCCCTCTTCTGTACAGAACTTCACAAGAAAACCAACATGTGATGGTTAATCCGAAGGAATAGACAAAGACCTTTGACTTTTGAAAGTCAATGTGGGTTGAGGGAAACTGATGATTTGGACTAGGGAAACCAACATGGCATATGCAAACTGATGGGCCCTTCAAATTTTTCATAATGGCTTTTTAAAAAACCTAAAAAGACAAGTTCATACCCTTTAAACATTGACAGATCTTCTTAAGGGCGAGGGGAGCTGTGCCCCCCCCCCCCCCCCCCCTGTTTTTTTAGAACTAGTCCACTACTATTAAAAATTTTACATATCAGACCCAAAACTAAAAAATTTGACTGCGCCCCCCGTGTTCTTCCATTTTTATATATATTTTACTTTCGGCCCCAACTCAAATGTTCAAGCTCCGTTACCGCCTTCAAATGCAAAAAAAAAAAAAAAAAAAAAAATCACTAAGGACTATTTAAACCAATATACTAAACATCGTTGGGCTACAGTGACAATAACCCAACATAAAACTCCTACTCAACAAATGGTTATTATCAGCAAAGCCTGAAAACATACTATCGTAATAGCATCAAAATTACAAAATTTTAAAACTCTGGATGACTTTATCGATAATAAAATAATTAATGATGACTTTCTAGAAATTGAGTCAAACTACTAATGGTTTATTTACCCTAAAAATTATATTGATAATCTTCGGTGACATCTAGGGCAAAAAAAAAGTAAAAATACGCTAGAAGGAGGGGTCGAACCTCCGACCTTGTGGTTAACAGCCACACGCTCTAACCAACTGAGCTATTCCAGCTTGGTGTTATATAGTTTGTTTTTTATTACATAAATCAATTCAGCTGCAAAGTGCAGATCTGTTCATGCAACCGATGGATTGTTTAATGGAGGCGTGGGGGGGTTTAGAGGATGATGGTTAAACCCCTTTTCTAGGGCTCCGGCAATGAACACAATGCCCCAAATTACAAACCTTCGCCTCCTTTTCTCCACTGCTACCAATCACCCTAATCCCTCTTTCTTTCTCTCTTCTTTCAAACCCAATTCCCTCCTCAAATTCAACAACAAATTTCCCACTAAACTCCACAAATCCCCTTCTTCTTCTTCTTACCCTTTCTTCACCTGTCTTGCATCGTCAAGGAAACCGCACAGATACAATTCCAAATCCTTCAATCCCAATCGCAGAATCAATACCGGTAACACCAGTTCTTTGAAGCAGAGTGATAACAAGGAGGAAAGTGGGTTATCATCAAAGAAGATGGAGCTTGAAATGGAAGACCCCAAGAAGGCTGGAATGGCTGCTGGGTTTAATAAGAAAAGGGCAGAGGGTAGAGATAAAAGTAGTAGACCTAAAGACCTTAAACTAAAAGTTCGAAGACTTAATCCTGTTAATACAATATCGTATGTCCAGGTAACTGCTGTTAACATTACGTTATCGTTACAAGCTATTTGCTTTCGTAGTTGAAAATGGGACTAATTATATTACGCAGGTTTTAGGAACTGGTATGGATACTCAAGACACATCTCCATCAGTTTTGCTCTTCTTCGACAAACAGAGATTTATATTCAATGCAGGAGAAGTAAGTATTTTGATTTGATGTACCTTTTTATGACTTTTGTCGAATGTTTAACTGACTAGAGAATACAACTGCAACTCTTTATGCCAATAATCAAAAGTTTATACCTTTTATTGATTTTCTTTCTATGATTTGATCAGGGGTTGCAACGATTTTGTACAGAACATAAGATTAAGCTATCAAAGGTAAAATCAGTCACAAATATTCACATAAACATCTACATTTACATTCATCTCGCTAATGGGAATTACTTGCTTCTTCTACTTCAGATTGATCACATATTTCTTTCACGTGTCTGCTCTGAAACCGCTGGTGGACTACCAGGTTTGCTTGTATTTCTTGAATTATCTCTTCATATTTCAAGATTAGCTTTGTATAATGTTGAAAAAGGTCAATAATTTTGAATTCTGTAATATATTTCAGGTCTTCTACTGACATTAGCTGGAACTGGTGAAGAGGGTATATCTGTAAATGTATGGGGACCTTCAGATTTCAAGTATTTAGTTGATGCAATGAAATCATTCATTCCAAATGCAGCCATGGTTCATAGCAGATGTTTTGGTGCATTGGACAAAAACCCTGAAAAACTCCATGATCAACTCAAGCTTATTGATGATGAAGTTGTCAAAATATCTGCTATTTTATTAAGACCAAATTGCCCTGAAACTCATGAGCTCAAAAAAGATGAATTTGAATTAAAGTCTAGTGATATTTCTGTTTTATACATTTGTGAGTTACCTGAGATCAGGGGTAAATTCGACCTAGAAAAAGCCAGATCACTTGGACTAAGACCTGGACCAAAATATCGCGAATTACAAGAAGGGATTTCTGTTAAATCGGATTTAAAAGACATCATGGTATATCATCTTCCATTCTTTCTTTACTTTTTGATTTTTCTTTAACTTTATATAATAATTTTTTTTTATTGTTGATTCAATTTGACAATTTCAGGTTCATCCTGATGATGTTCTTGGACCTTCTGTCCCTGGGCCCATTGTTCTCCTTGTAGATTGTCCTACATTATCTCATTTTCAAGAATTATTATTATCCACATCATCTCTTGACACTTTCTATGGTGAAACACCTAACAAAAGGGTCAATTGTGTAATTCATTTAAGTTCTGCATTGATTGTAAACTCTAGTGATTATCAAAAATGGATGTCAAGATTTCATGGAGCAGAGCACATTATTGCAGGACATCAAATGTAAGTTTTAATCTTAATTTCATCCTAAAATTGTTGATTTTTATGAAAGATGAATTAAAATGTGACAAAAATAATCAGGAAGAATGTTGAGATCCCAATTCTGCAATCTAGTGCAAGAGTTGCAGCTCGGCTTAATTATTTATGTCCACAGTTCTTCCCAGCTCCTGGTTATTGGTCTCTTGAAAACCTAAAAAGTTCAATGCCACCTGTCATAAATGAGGTATATTTTGAGTTTTATGACATCTTAAATAACAATAGTTTAATGGAAAATCACAAAATGACCAAAAGGGTATGGCCCATTTAACAAAGTCAACACCTTTTTGACCCTTTTAAGTTTTAACAAAATGAACTCCAATTTTGCATTCTGGATTTTTGCAAAGTTGCTTTTTTGCATGGGCCCCATGACAAAAGATTTTGAAAAATAAAATCATATGTTGCTTAATATCTCAAAAAAGATCTTATATTTTTATGTTTTTTCCGGATTAAACCTCAAATTTATATTTTGCCTGAAAAAGACCTTGTATTTTTTCGTTTTTTCCAAAAAAGCCCTCAACTTTGTATTTTTTTTTTTCCAAAAAAAACCCTCAACCTTCTAAATGCCTCCAAATAAACCGTCAACTTTTTTAGTTTTTCTTGAAAAAACCCTCACTTTTTTGGCAAAAAATGACTAAAAGGGCCAAATCAGAAAAAAATGAAAAAAATACAAGGTCTTTTTCAGGCAAAAAATAATTTTGAGGCTTAATCCGGAAAAAACACAAAATATAAGGTCTTTTATGAGATTAACCCAATATATTATCTTGTGAAATGTCTTACTTTGTGAAATAATGATATCATTTTGCAAATATTAAAATTAAAGCTTTTTTTTTAACAGCATTTTGTATGTAAAAGTAATTCACAATTTATTGGAATTTCATAACTGACCCATTATGTGAAATAGGTAGTCCTTTTGTTAAAAGGGTAAAAAAAAGGTGGTCAATGTGCTAAATTGGAAAACTCATTTTGGGCATTTTTGTAATTATCCTTTAAAAAAATAATTGACATTGTTTTAAACCTGCAGGATACCGATTTAAAAACTATATCTGCTGAAAATCTCCTCAAGGTGTGTTGTTTCAAATTTCAATACAAATTTCTTTCCTTTTTACAGTTTCTAATCATTTGTTTAAACAAATCAAGATTTTTATATTATTATTTCAACAGTTCCATTTACGCCCCTTAGCACAACTAGGGTTAGACAAATCCAGTGTCCCAAAAATCGTGGGTCCCACTGAGATCATCAATGACCTACTTTTGGAAATACCAGAGATATCTGATGCATCCCAACAAGTTGGTCAACTTTGGAAAGTTGACCAAAACACAATTAAAGAAGAACCTTGGTTGAATAATCAAAGTGGTGTTCCAAGTTGTTTGGAGGAAATTACACGGGAAAATGTCGAAATTGTCCTTCTAGGAACTGGTTCTTCTCAACCTTCTAAATATAGAAATGTTAGTTCTATCTTCATAAATCTTTTCTCTAAAGGTAGTGTGCTTTTAGATTGTGGTGAAGGAACTCTTGGACAACTAAAAAGAAGGTAAATGATAAATCTTTGGGTTAATATCATAAAAGACCCTGTACTTTGGGTTTTTTCCGTATTAAACCTTAACTTTATTTTTTTTCATTATAAAACACCTTCCATTTTTTCATTTATTATCCTTTTAGCAGGTTTATCGGTAATCTTCCGATTTTAGAAAGTTTTTCTGGAAAAACCCTCAACTTTTTTTTTCTACCTAAAACACTCCGATTTTTACTTTTTTTTTTTAACGAAAAAACCCTCCAACATTTTTTTCTCCAAAAAAGCCCTCTGACTTTTACTTTTTTTCCCTGAAAAAGCCCTTAGATTTTTACTTTTTTGTTTTTCCGAAAAAACCCTTAACTTTTTTTTTCTCCGAAAAAGCCCTCCGATTTTTTCTTTTTTTCCCCGAAAAAGCCCTTCGGTTTTTACTTTTTTTCCTGAAAAAAACCCTCCAACTTTTTTTTTCTCCAGAAAAGCCATCCGATTGTTACTTTTTTTTCCCCGAAAAAGCCCTAAGATTTTTATTTATTTTTTCCGAAAAAACCCTCAACTTTTTTCCCCCCAAAAAAGTTGTCAAATGTGAGGCTTTTTTGAAAAAAAATATATATTTGAGGTACTTTCTTGAAAAAAATTGTCTAAAACCGGAAGATTACCAGTAACCCTGCTAAAAGGGCCAAATCGGTAAAAAAAGAAAAAAAATACAAGGTCTTTTAAAGAAAAAAAATAAAGTTGAGGTTTAATCCAGAAATAATCCAAAATATAGGGTCTTTTACTCTTTTAGGATATTACATTAAAATTCACAAACTTTTGATGTTTTAATTTTAACAAAAATATTTTTCAACAGATTTGGGATTAAAGGAGCAGATGATGCAGTTAAAGGTTTAAAATGTATTTGGATTTCACATATCCATGCAGATCACCACACAGGTCTTGCAAGAATCCTTGCTTTGAGACGCGATTTATTAAAACGGGTCGCACATGATCCATTAATTGTCATTGGCCCTCGACAATTAAAAAGATTTCTTGATGCATATCAAAGACTTGAAGATTTAGACATGCAGTTTCTTGATTGTAGGCATACAACAGACTCAAAAAATAGTTTTCAAGATTCTAATTTGTTTACAAAAGGAAGTCAAATGCAGAGTCAATGGAAAAGACCAAATAGCCCTGTGGATATGACCTTAGTGTCTCCCATTATCAACAACTTGAAGGAAGTGCTGAAAGATGCAGGTTTAGATGATGTGATTAGTTTCCCTGTTGTTCATTGCCCTCAAGCTTTTGGTGTTGTTTTGAAAGGTAGGGGTAAAATCGGAAATAATGGTGAAAATATAAACGGGTGGAAGATTGTTTATTCGGGTGACACGCGACCATGTCCTGAATTAATCAAAGCTGCTCAAGGAGCAACGGTTCTTATACATGAGGTAAAGTAACCAAAGTTTGACTTTTCAAAGTCAAAGGTCTTGATAGAAGTTTTATAAAATACATTGTAATAATAGGAAGAAAACAGAATTGCAAAAATGGTCCCTGTGGTTTCTCATTTTATGTGGCTAAGGTCCAAACCTTTGAAAAGTTGCGGATTTGGTCCTTTTCAACAAGTTTTGTTGTGGTTTTGGTCTTTCTTTCGTTAACTTATATCCTAATATTTATTAGGATATAAATATTATATATTAAAAATAATATTTATTAATATATAATAATCCAATAAAAAAGAATTACTTCAATAAAAAAAATTAATAATCCAATAAAATAATATTATTTATATCTTAAAAATAATATTTAATAATTCAATAAAATTAAAAAGAATATATGCAGAAATGGTCCCCAAGGGTAAAATTGTCATTTTAAAAAAGTTAATGGAAGAGGGACCAAAACCACAACAAAACTTGTTGAAAATTCCTTGTAGTTTGGTTGCAGAAATGGTCCCTAAGGGTAAAATTGTCATTTTAAAAAAGTTAACGGAAGAGGGACCAAAAAACCATAACAAAACTTGTTGAAAAGGACCAAATCTGCAACTTTTCAAAGGTTTGGACCTTAGCAAGATAAAAATGAGAAACCATAGATAGGGACCATTTTTGCAATTTTGTCTAGGAAGAAATATTAAAAGTTTAATGTGTTATTAAAATCAGGCAACTTTTGAGGATGCATTGGTGGAGGAGGCGATAGCAAGAAATCATAGTACAACTGAAGAGGCGATTGGAGTGGGGAACAGTGCGGGTGCATATCGGATAATTCTTACCCATTTTAGTCAAAGATACCCGAAAATACCAGTTTTTGATGAAAGTTATATGCATAAAACATGCATTGCTTTTGATATGATGAGTGTAAATTTTGCTGATTTACATGTGCTTCCAAGAGTGCTTCCTTACCTTAAACTGCTGTTTAAGAATGAAATGATTGTTGATGAAGCGGATGATGTTGAGAATGTTGCCACTGCTGCTGCATGAATTTAAATGTCTTCGAGTTGTTCTTATGGATTCTTGATTATGTTCTTGAATGGAAACTGTTCTTAAAGTTTAGGGGCCTTATTTGTCGAGTTTCTTTTTTAGTGGGTGTAAATAATTCTTGTTGCTTAGTTGGAGGGCGTCTTTTATACTTCTTTAATTCATTTAAGGGCAAAGTTGCTAGAAATAGCAGCATACTATACTCTTTTTTTTAATCAATTAGTAATTTGATTTTTACCCAATAATATCATTGCACCTACAATTCTTACACTTACATTTATTTACACATAGTAGTCATGTGCTTACATATATTATCAATGATAACTTGAAACTTGTTAAAATAAACTTAATTATTTTACCAATAATAGCAAAATGCACTTACATGTCATCACTTGTAATGTGGGATGATGTGCTTAGTGATTACAACTTTTATTGATGATAGCCTGACCTGTAAAAGTTTGTTTATCTTTAATACCTATTATAATTTGATATTGGTTAAGGCATTGCCTCTACTCCTCTAGTGGTAGCGAGTAAAATAAAGTTATTATTCCTCATAATTTGTTCATTTATAATTAGTACCCTTTTTTTCTTAACAGATTACAATATACTTGGGAGGCCTCTCATCACTTACAATAGCAACATGCATTTTTTTTTACAGCAATGGCAACTTCAAGAAACATGTACAAAAGATCAAGAAAACTTTTGAAATGCACTTATTTACATACACTTATGCACCAAAACCATCTACTTATATACAAATAAACCATGAAGCTTGCTTCTTATTTATGCCTTATTCCCTTTTTTGTATTGTATCTATGGCACCACCACTGTAAAACTTTTATCTTCTTCACTCTTTTCACTAGTTTCTCTAATAGCCCATGACCCCACTTCCATCTTTTTGGTTCTCTTTAGTTGTCTCACCAAATTCAATCGTTCAGATGAATAAGGGGAAGGTATCTATTGGACATAATACAACAAGATTATTATCACAAGAACACAAGAAATTAATAATCATAAAATAAACATTTTTTTTTTAATTAGATGTACCAATGATGGGACGTATTTGTTGATTGCAGCTAAGATTGCTGCATGCCCGACAGCTGACATTGGAATTAGCATTAGGATTGTGACAGGGACAAGTGTCACCATGTCATTCAATGTTCTCTTTATTTTCTTTTTTTCTCTATTTGTAATCTTTTTGCCACGTAATTGCTTCACAAGGAGCCCAATAACATCCCCCACATCTATGAATAGTAGTTGAGTACCCATACAAACAATCTGTAAATCATGGTTCATGTCAGTATTCGAATGTTTTTTGAAGGAATGGAATCTGTCTAAGGAATTGGAATTTGAAGGAACTGGAATCTGTCAATGTATTTGGTTGGCAAGAATTGGAATGGAACGGATTTGAATTCCTTCCACCCTCTCCTCCTAAGAATGGTAAAACATGGATCTTGAAGGAATTGAATTCCGTTCCGTCCATTTGCTAACCAAACAAGTCCTGGAATGGAATCACGTATTCCAATTCCATCGGAATCACAGATTCCAATTCCATCGGAATCACGGATTCCAATTCCATCGGAATCCACGAACCGAATCGGTGCCTTACATTACTGGCATATATGACCTTTTCCGTGGATTTTCTAAGTAAACGTTCATACAAACGCTTTCTTTTCCTGGCAACCTTTAAATGGTTGATTCCTGCTAATAAGCTTATACCCTGCCAAAATATTTAACGTTTTAATCAACCAAAGAAAAAATCACAAAGAATAGCAACCTACTTTACTCTCATTTTACCAATATTGGCAATGTACCTTTATCTTTCACCCATAATAGCAAAATACTTTATGTATTTTTAACTCATAATAGCATTGTACTTACATTTATTACCGATAATAGCAACATACTTTAGTAAATAAACAAAGTACATTGCTCATATTGGTAAAAAAACGAGAAAAGTATGTTGCTATTTCTCACCATCTACCATTAAAGAAATCATAATCTCTTACTAACAAAATGAAAAAGTCACATTTCATGAGTTAAATTAGGGTGAAATTGATACCTTAATCTCTCTAGACACCTCTTCATGATTCCCTCTTTTCATCAATTCAATCGGCTTTGAGTGAGCTTCCAATAACATAAATGATTCAGGCACAACTCTTTCACCAAATTTCATTACTTCACTGCAAAAGGAAAAAAAAAATAACGTATTAAGTTGTTTTTTCTGTATTAAGTCCTTTTATCTGTATTAAGTCAAAAAGAAACAACACCTTACCCTGACTTATCATAAGTCGCCCAATACTCCTCTAGGCAATTCGACAACAAAGTTTGACTACAAATTACATATCAATTATCATATATAAGTTTGTGACATAAAAACATGTTATATAAGTTTATTTTTTATAAATAATACTACCTTTGAGACAAAAATGAAAGCACATCAGAATTTAGTGATTTTTGAGAAGAAGTTGTATAATGTACAAATCCGGAAAAAACATCATAGCAAACAGTAAGAACTGTGTACAAAATTATCTCCTTTTCTGTTTGATGTTTTCTAGATCTTCTTCCATCATATTGGAATTTGCATTTAAGTGGAGCATAAAAATCAAGCCATGAAATTTCATCTATAACCACCTGAAAAATAGATAATGGAATCATTAAGATGTAATATTTTTGGGTTTTTATGAGAAATTGTATTATTAAACAAACCTCAATGAAGAGTTGATACTTTGGGAGGGAGTTAAATTCAGGATAGATATACAAGCTACCACACTCCAAGTAACTATACAAGGTTCAAAATCTTCATGATTGTTAATCATAAATAAAAAATAATGGGCTAATAACAAAAAAACAAAAAAAAAATTATATCACAAAATATCACATGTTTCGCAAAATACATATTTATTTGGGTTTTATGCAGAAAAGTCTCATTATTTTGGGAATTTTTTTGATAAAGTCCTAAATATTTTTTTTTTGAACTGAAAATTTTCGTTATTTTGGGAAAATCACATAATCTGTCATTTCCTTTTAAAATAAAAAATGATTTTTTTTCGTTGATTTGGGCAAAATGTTAAATCATCGGGATTTTTCTATTCAAAAAACAAAATTTATAACTTTTTCAAAAAATTTCAAAAAATAATGAGACTTTTCTGCATAAAACCCTATTTATTTCTAGAGAAATTAATTTTTTAGTGCCACTAAATTTTTTTCATGTAAAAATTAATTGTTCTTTTTATAGAAATAAAAAAAATTGTGTATTTTTTCTATTTTTTTTATAGATTTTTCTAGTTGAGACCATTGATAAATAATTTCAAGAAATTACCTTTTTTAGTGGTCACGTTTTAACGTAAATAAATATAGTTCACGAAAATTAAATTTTGCAAAAAGAATGATTTCATTTTCACGAAATGAATTTTAAGTGGGACCACTAATAAATTTTTTTCAAGAAAAAAGGTATTTGGCGAAATAGGTGATCGTATTTTCTTCCCATTTTTGGTTATTCTTGTGATTAGCCCCAAAAATAAAGCAACACATTTTTAAATGATTAAATCTACCTTAAGAAGTCCTTAATTTGATCATCCATCTCTTTTATATTCATATCTGATAAATACAATCTTGTCTCTCTTCCCAAATATGCAAAAATCCCAAGAGTTGCTAAAGTAGTTTCTTCAACCTAAATAATTATTATTAAACCAAAACCACTTTAATTATCTAATTAATTGCACAACATAAGCACAATTATAATACATTAACACATAACAGACCTTTTCTATGAAGTTTTCTTGAGGTATTATAACACTTTCTCTATGAAATGCTAAAGAAAGTTTTTTCTTCACGAGTCCAATCCAAAATTCCACATCCTCTATATTCTTACTCGGTAAAACTTTTTTACCACAATGTAATAAAAAATCTTCTTCAAATCCTGCTTTGATTGACAAATTATGCAATTTATCTACTGATACAAGATCACATGATAAATCCCTAAATTCAGCCAATGAATCATCAATCGATGCAGTAAATTGAGGGCAAGAAATACGGCTTGAACCCAATTTTGTTATCGAAGTACAACAAGTTATCGCAAGAATCACCCCTGCAACACCACTGAATAACTTTATGTTATTATAGATTATCCAATTTGATCTTTTGATTTAAATCAAAGAACCCCATTTTTTTGCATACCTTCTAGAATATTCCGCAGACCATTTCTTGAATAGTGGAATGAACAATCCTGCAATTCGTGGAAGTTCTACTGTTCTGAACCATTGAATTAATTTCGGTTGCTTTGAATTCAATTGGGTTTCTATGAATTCGCCAAGGAATAATGTCTTTGAGGATAAACTGAAGTAGAAAAGGATTACAGCTTTAAAGATTGGATAAATTTGTAGAAGTTGTTCAAAGAATGCGTTGAAATTCACAAGATTTACATTTCGTAGACTTGACTGTTGCTTCGTTTCTGAGAAAGAGATAATCCCACTTCGATTGCAGCTTTGAGTAAAGCATAAACTGCTACCTGTAAAAACAATGATATGGCTATTTATGGTTTATATAGTAATGATCCTAAATTTATAAAATTTTATATCTTTTGATTATAGGTCACCTGATATGCAGTGTGTTTATGCCATGCATTTACATCGATTCCGTTCCAGGCATTTGAAAGCTCGGGACCAGTTTTAGCGAAATCTAGAGATTGAATTGCGAGGGAAAAGCTTCTGGCGGAATGATGTAATACCCATATAAGACAATTAACATGGTTAAATTCGAATTCGTTTGTGTGTGTTGTAATACCCAATGAAGGTTCATCTTCAAGAATGAAATTATCGATACCAGAAGAGGGAATTGGTGATAGAGATTTTGATGATGAACGACTTAATGAGATGTTACGAGATGATGAAACGCAAGCTCGAAGTGGATTGTTCTTGAGCGAGCTACGCTTTAGTTGCTGGTTTTTACTGAACTTTGCGAAATTAGGTAATCTGGAACTGGTTGTGTCTTCTGATCGAGCGGAATCCCTGTGAAATAGAGAGATAAATCAATGAGTTTTAACTGTTTAAAGAAAACCTAAATCAAGAACAACACATAATGCTCTGTAAAAGAAGACGCGTAACATTGAAGCAAACATCATAGAATGTGATGCAAACGGTGAAGGAGAGCTTACAGGTTGTATGAAGATCGAA